CCCTGGATTATTCAAACATACCACACTTAACCGAACATTCCCTTACTTTTTCACAATCTTCATGGAGTCCTACACTCCTACTAGGGCTAGCATGACACAATACAATGGAGTGGGTCATGCTAGCATGGCCCGTGGCCCCGCTTGGCACCACATGCCCCATCCTCACCTCCCACCCACACAAATAATTGTATAAATCAAAATTCATATAGAATAATTTTTTGTCTATATTATTAATTTATTTTAATCTTTTTTTTTATTTTTTTAAATTTTTATCTAAAAAAAAGTGCCATCGATGGCCTGGCACAGCCCGCTTGGGCTCGTGTCATGAGTCATGCCAAGCTTCCCTTTGAGGGATTCCTGAGTCCTGACCAGGTAGGAACAGCCCACCAAGGCCCACATGTCGGTTCCACATGGCCCACTATAGTGCAAACAACCTGCAAAAATGGGTCATACCAACCTAGCAGAGTCCACATTACAGCTCTGCATATGTCATGATGAAAAAATTTATTTGCAAAAGTCATATCAAGTAATTAATGGGAGTGGTTGGCCATTTGGGGAGTGGACTTCAGGGAATGGATGATGAAACTCCTCTATGGGCGTGGGCGTTACGAGTCTTTTAGCATGCCCAATGTCTCAAAGAATCGTGAGATTCGTGACCAATCAATGCTTGTGTTAGTCTGTCAGGGATGATAATTTTTCCCATGAAACTAGGGTCTGCCTCGTCTCAAATGGGATAAGCTTTTCCCGATTTTAAATAGGGATGGATAGGGATGGGACTTGTATATAATTCTTCAAATATGTGATAAATTATTAAAATATCTTTTTAAGTTTAATTTTAATTTTAAAAATGCCTATGAATTTTTATTAAATTTTAAAAACCCTAAGATCTCATAATTCTATTTCTAAAATACTCTCAAATCCTCATAATGCTATTATCATAATACATCCAAAGTTTGATGTATTTTTAGATGATTACACAGAGTGAAAAAATTCGGGAATTCCTGATCCCCAATGGGGAGAGGGGAAGGGTGACCGGGTCTGCCATTATTAGAGATGTCAATGGGTTGGTTTTGACATGGTTACCAAACCCGAACCCAACCCAAAACAGTAACCCGAATCGAACCCAATCCGACTAAATGTAGAGACGCTACCAAACTAGCACCACCCTACCTCATCTATAGCATACTATACCTATATCCAATTGATATTATATATAAGCATCAACAGGTCGGGTCAATGCAGGTTCTCCCCAACCCGACCCTAACCCAAAACCTGATTATAACCCGATAGGGTCAGGTCAGTGTGGGTTTACCTACGAAAAAAATGCAGGGGTTCTAAAACTACAGAAGTACAGATAGTGTGGGACGGAATGCACTAATGCTAGGGTGGTAGAACTTTGTAGTTTGCACAGGTGAGCTGAGCTGATATATGACCCATCTGATGGTGGATTCCGACGCTCTAATCATGAGATACGTAGCAAATTTAGAGTCCCAGACAAGGTTCTAAGTATCGATACAGCCTTATATGGCTTGTATCGGTACTTTTTTAAGGTTTTATTTATTTTTTAAAATCGGTCCAGAGGGATTAATTTAAGGCCTGGCTATCTTTTAAACCAGTGTTTGACTCAATGCAACCCCTGAAAGGGCGTATCAGAAACCCATCATCACGAAACATATTAGCTACGTATCGATACTTTTGAACCTTGGTCCCAGACTCACTCCATTTAACAATGGCTGAAGGCTCCTCAAAGTGAAGGCTCCACAGCACTACTTTTCAACATTCTAAAATAACAAGTAATTAAATTATTGGATCTAGCCATCATTAACAGAGCTCGCATATGATTAATCACTTTTTATTGACTAGTTGGAACCCGTGCGATCCACGGGCATTGTAAGGAAAATTGAGGGAAAATGAACCTTATAATAGGTAGAACGACTGATTATACATCTTGCTAATTATTATGGCCTAAGTCTATTTTGTTTCTTTCTTTACTTCCTTATCCCCATGTGACCATTGCCATTACAAGAGGAATTACTAAGGTGGCATTTGATAAATATGAAAAGTTAAAAAGATATTAAAAGGGTCTGAAATATGAAAAGAGACATAATTGTTTTTTGACTTTTTAGAGGCTCTGATTAAAGAAGGTTGTTTGTCTTGGATCAAACCTTCAGCATCTGAAATTCATTAATTTTACTATTTTACCTCTAAATTAGACTATTCGGTTGTAGTGGCGAGAAAAGAAGAAGAAATGGGAGAGAGAGAGAGGCCGAAACTTGTTGCCGCTAATTTGTCGGAGGAGTTGCAATAGTGAGAGAAGAAGAAAGGATGGAGGGAGAGAGAGAGAGAGAGGGTATTTTGGACATTCAGCCAGGTCTGAAACACATATGAACGTGTTCAACACCTAGCCCATGTCTTATTATTTTAGATCTGAAAATAATTTTCAGACCCAAATTCATATACACTTCCAAACACCTTTGACGTTTGAAAAACAATACTTTCAGACTTCAAAGGTCTTTAAAGTGTTATCAAACGTCACCTAAGAATGCAAAAGAAAAAGATTTAAAAAAATGAGGGAACTCTACTGGAAGGGAGGTCTAATAAAGAAGCTATGAAATCATTAGTCAAGCTAGAAATAAGTTGGACTACCAGCTTACTAATATAAAGCAAGAGAAGGGGAGTAAGTTAAGAAACAAACTAATTCATATAAAAAAAAAAGGCAGTAAGAATTAGCAGTTGTATTGATATGATGATTGGTGAAGTTGTTAGATATAAACCCTCTCATGAATCCTATAATAAACCTAATGACATCTCAATTCCCTTAGTTTTCTCTGTAAATCACCAGCAGAAAGCTGGCGTTTAGCCCCTTTATTGGTTTTGTTCTATGGGTAAATCAGAGTAGGATTTTCACCTGTAGTGGAGAAAACATGTAATAAATCCAAAGACAATTTAACCTGTAGTGGAGATTCATTAGCATATGCTTAAATACTTGGATTAATCCCAAAGTATGAACTTTGCCTGCCTATGCTGAAAACAAAGAAAAGTCCTCACCACTGTTCCCACTGCATCAAACTCTCCAAGTGGAATAGTCCTGACCACAGTTTTATCAATTATTAAAATTGTGCATTCCAACTGAACAACTAACTATATTACTGATACTTGTTGAATATGTCTAACATCTACTGCTGATACTTATTTAACTATATTTTCCAACTGATGAAATTGTATATTCCAATTGAACAACTCTAATACAGATACTTCAATTTGATGCAACTATGAAGACCTGATTACATGAAAGCCCTATCATAATGAAATCTTATAGTTTGTTTTGAAATAAACATAGATAAAAGATAGGTATAAGCATTGTTTCTTCACAAAAATAAGTATAGTAAATTATAAAACATATAATGTGTTTTGGGGATTTATAGGGTGGGGGAATTGCCACTAAAAAGCGCGTCCAGAAGTACCTACAATATGGTGAATATCAAATCAAACAACCTTGTATTTAGGAATAGCCATGGTAATAGTGCAGATATTGTATTAGTATCATGTACATCTCGGAGTAGTTGATCACTTGATCTAATTCAGGCCACAATGATCCTCGGTTGCAATAGAGATTAGGGAATAATATTTGAAGAAAATAATATATATAAAGCATAAAAGATTCATTAAAATACAGATCAACATAAATTACGAAATAAACTACACAGCCCCAAAATTTGCATGATGAAATAAAATGTAAGTTTAAGTTGCTTGGCTGAGAAAATAAATCACCTAGTGAAGCTTCTTAGTATTTGTTTGGTTCCATTTATGTTTTTCATTCAATGTTTGTACTTTATTTGTTGGTAAAACCGAGAAAAGTAATAATTACAATCATTTATGATAACTAGGCACCACTAGACTCTGGATCTCTTGTCCACGAGAATTCTGCCCACACCTATCCACAATACACTACCTCCCGTGAATTGGGAATATCTCCCCCTGCATGATATTATGTAAAGGACGAGACGTTCTCCATGTGTGGCTGCGATTAACGTGGGCAGGAGATCCGGACTCATGCCACTAGGTTTCACATCAACGTAACATTGAAAAAAATGTCTGATCGTTTGTGGAAACTTTAAAAAATAACTTCCACAAACGATTGGCATGCACAAAAACCAAAGTTCACATTTTTCATTCTCAATGCGTACGAAAGAGCAAGAGAAAGAAACTATTGAAGTGGCACTGACACCTATGTGACAACGTTTATTGAATAAATGCCCACATAACCAAACACCATGTTAATCAATGCTATGAGCTTCCTCATCAAACCTTGGTGAACCTTATAAAGCAAAAAATAAACAGCAAATTAAATCAAACAGGAAAAAAAAAATATGAAGTGACCAACTAACTCACCATAAAGCCCCCATCATGTAAGTTCCCATCTCCAAAAATTAACCCATTTCAACTCCAAAATGTTTGATTGTTTCACTTTTTTTACTCTTTTGTCTAGCCAATTTCCTTACTTGTTTGTAGCTCCATTGACAACCAATCTATCGTTTAGTTGAAATCTATAGTTTCAGTAAGTTCAAATACAATGAGAAAGATAAATTAGTAAACAATGTAAAGAAGGAAGAAGGAAAAAAGTTATAGCTAATGTTACATATAGAGAGAGAGAGAGAAAATGCACATTTCAACCAAGTATTGACTTTTTTATCCATTTTAATGGAGATGCAAAATCAGAAAATTAGCAAAGGTAATTTAAGAGAGATACTCTTACAAATCATGATACTTAGATTAAAGTTGCAAAAGCCATCGAAGATAAAGAATAATAATGAGAGACAAATCAGGAAAGGGAGACATGAAGGGAAGAAATTGTTTAATGCAATGATATAGAAAAGATATGATATGGAAAAAACAACCGATCAATAATTAATAAATAATTACAATAAACCGTTTACCCAAAAAAAAAAATACAAATTTAACTTAAAAACCAGGACCTCTTAAAATTCAGTCTTCATTTTCATTGAGAATTTACTCTCTCTCGCTCTCGCTCTCGCTCTCGCGCAGTGCGGCTCCTCTGCCTTTTCGCTTATCGCTTCCTTCACTGTTTGACTTCATTTTTGTTGGAAATCTAAAGCAGACTCTGTTTTCCGCTGTTCTTTGTTTCTCTTGATCCAGTTTATCCAAATTCAGAGATTTTTTTTCGGTCTTCTGATTCCACCTAAAAACGTAAAAGAAAGTATTAAATTTGTATAGAAAAGTAGCAAGATTGAGTTGCAGGTTAGGGATCATCGCCTGTTTGATCATCTTAGGTTCGCTTTTCCAGCTTTTAGTTCTAGCAGGAGAAATTAGAGGTTCACACTTCACTCTGATCTGGAACCTGTTGTTACCAGCTACATTCAGCTCCAGGTTTTGAGATTTCGTCCTCTTTTATTCATCCTTTTTGCCTTCTTGAATTAGTTAGTTCAATTAGGGCTTTCTTACTTCATTCCCGATCTAGCTGCATCTACTTGTACTAGAGAAATTGATTGTTTTCTCTCTCAAATTGGATTGTTTTATTGCTATAGAAGTGATATTCAGGCCTTCTGCTCTCTTCAGATCTCAGACTTGGAACTTTGAGCTGATGTACATTCCAAAAGATCTCAATATACGTGTTCTGTAAGCGAAGCTCGCTTGTGAAGTAAAGGTTGTATCCACCTTCTGATTTTGTTTAAGTACGAGTTATCTGAAGATTCTGGTTCTAGTTATTTCGGTTCGTCGAATTTGTGGGATGTTCCTCTTGATTTCTCGCTTTGGAAGATTTTAAGCTTTCACTTCTAAGATGCAACCTGATCAGCGGAAGAAGGTAAATGTAATTTTCGTTGTTTGTTTACTTATTTGTTTTTTCATTTTCTTTCTTTTTGAACATCTTTGATCCAATTAGATTGTTTTGACCATGGAGCCCTCTTCATGCTTTTATCATTATTGTTTCCAAGTTTTTTTGGTCCTTCCTTCGTTGCTTCCTCTTCTTTCAAGTTCACTTTTCCTTCGATACCGATTGGATTTGGTTCTTGTCTTCTCACTTCCTCCAGAAATCTTCAACCCCTTCCCCCTAAGTACCTTGAAACTTGCCAATTTTGTAATTTTAGCAGATCCGTGTTTTTATAATTTTTCTTCTTGGTGGCAACCTTTATTTGGTAAGTCAGGCCTGCAAGTTCCTCTGGTATTGGATTAAGCGAAACAATTCCTGTACAATTTCTTTTGGAAATAATCGGCATTGACTTTGTATAATAGTTACTTTTTATGTCAAAAATCAATGTCAGCTATCTACTGTACATAAGTCAAATTTTCTCCCGTCATCGTGCAAGGCGTAAGACAAATCTTTCCACCATATACAGTGCAAGGTTCCATATTGAAAACTAATTCAAAAGAATATCACCAGGATGTATTACTATGCAGCTTCCATATCACGACCATTCATTTTCTTTTGCATTGAATTGAATATGTAAATTCCGCTTAATCTTTTTAGCTTTTCTCTCTTAGGGTATGTATATTTATTTATTTATTTGTAATGTACTTCAATCAATGTTTCCAGTTTAGTTAGTTTGGAATTACAACTCTATATCTGTATTAGTTTCATATTGGTTATACTGAACTCCCACTGGTGGCGATCTATTTCCTGTTATGTTCTTTTATGGGTTCTGTCAAATCATCTATGGTATAAGCTGAGAGTGAGATATTGATGCCTGCCATGTCCTGTAATTTGGTGATGCAGGCATCTGCTGAGGTAGATTTTTTCACAGAGTATGGTGAGGGGAGCAGGTACAGAATAGAAGAAGTAATAGGTAAAGGGAGCTATGGTGTTGTTTGCTCCGCATATGATACTTACACTGGGGAGAAAGTTGCAATTAAGAAGATCAATGATATCTTTGAGCATGTCTCTGATGCTACACGCATTCTTCGTGAGATTAAGCTTCTTAGACTCCTCCGTCATCCTGATATTGTGGAAATTAAGCACATCCTGTTGCCTCCTTCAAGAAGGGAGTTCAAAGACATATATGTTGTTTTTGAGCTTATGGAATCTGATCTGCACCAGGTTATTAAAGCAAATGATGATTTGACACCAGAACATTTTCAGTTCTTTCTTTATCAGCTTCTTCGAGGCTTGAAGTACATACACACAGGTTATTTAGAACTACCAATTTGTCTGTTCGTTCAGTTATTTCAAAACTGAGCTAATGCCTTATGAAATATAGCATGATTAATTCCTTCTTTCTCCTTTTTCTTAATTAATAGTTCACAATTCTGTAATTATTTTGCAGCTAATGTTTTTCATCGAGACCTAAAACCAAAAAACATCTTAGCAAATGCTGACTGCAAGCTTAAGATTTGTGATTTTGGTCTTGCAAGGGTGGCTTTCAATGATGCACCTACAGCCATATTTTGGACAGTAAGTTTCTTGCCAATCAAAGGCAGTATGCACCTTAATTTTTGTTCTCGATGCTTACTTCATTTTGGTCTGTTCTCTGTAAAACATGCACTTACAGGATTATGTTGCAACAAGATGGTATAGAGCTCCAGAATTGTGTGGATCCTTCTTTTCAAAGGTGCATGAGAAGTTCCAAGTTTGCCATTTCTTGGAAGTACTTTGCTATGACCATCTTATTATCATGATACTTATTTTGTTTGAATGCTGGTAATTTGTTATCGACTTTTCTATAATTTCTATTTATTTTTTATTCCAGGGAAGTTTTGGAAGGCTTTGTGTTCAGTATGTTCATATTACACCCACTGCCTTTGCTTTAATTGGAATATGCCTTTCATGTGCTTAGCATATCAAGCCTTGGTGCTTGTGTCACTGCAATGTTTTGCAATATCTCACTACATTTGTCATTCTTATTTATTTTACCTTTTTAATCTGGATGTATAATGGCAGGTGAACTGTCAGTATTCCACCTTCCTAGGAAAAGGTTAATGTCTTATCTAAGTGTGTTCTAGGGACAACTTGTATGGTCTATGGTGATATACTTCTCCCTATTTTTTTATTCTCCTTGAGTAGTCTTTTCTTTTCCACACGTGCTTACATGTGTGCACACAAACAAAAGATAAAAAGGGAGAACATTTTCTTGTGTACTAAGAAATTACAAATAGAAAACAGTATTTTTTTTATTATTTTTTGTGAACAGAGTCAAAGACGGTCCTACAGGTATGTCTAGCTAAAGTTACAACATTGAATAAAATTTTACAGGAACCGGGGTGTGTAGTGATTAAATTTCCTTTTCCTCTCTGTAGTTCTTTTCTTCCTTCTCTGCTAAAATTCTCCACAACTGATATATACACTATCAGCTAACTGGATTATATGTGGACTTTTTTCCTATTCTAGAATTCCCATATTGGATAAGTTGTACAGGTATCGAGATGTATTATACCTGGATATCTGTACATTCCTAGAATACCAGTGATAAGCACAATATGTAACTAATACCTGATATGACACCAAATACTGCATCAAAACTTATAGATATACTCTATCATCTACACTTTTAAAATGTGTAAAGTGGTATGCTTTAATAAATTATACTATAGGTATACATTTTAATTAAATTTGGCAGGACATACATATTGAGAACTGAAACATAGCTACAAAAATTAGATATAGAAGCATGATAAGGTGGACCTTGGCACAATGGTTAGGTTGCTCCATTGTGACCTGGGTGACCAGTGTTTTAAATCTTGGAAACAGCCTCGCTGTATGTGCAGGGGTAAGGCTGTGTACATCTGTCCCTCCCCAGACTCCCCATTGGTGGGAGCCTCGTGCACTGGGCTAAGCATGATATAAGCTTATTATATGAGATACCTGTACCTTTATTTCTGTCCTGGATCTTAGGAAATAAAGAGTCAATTCCCTGTTTCCCATATCCATGTCTGTCAGTATCCATACCTGCACATCATAATGGGGTTGTAGATCTTACCAGAAATCCTATAAGTCAATAGTTTATGTTCGGGAGCAACTAGGTAAATGAAACACCATGAAATGGCTTTTATTTTATTGCCACAATAGTACATGTATGAACTCCTGAGAAAGGGATGGCATATTTGTAGTTTATGGAAAGTGAGAAGGCTTGCATCCATAGAGATTGGGGCTTTCTTGATTGCATGATGGGAAGACTGATATTTGGATAGTAGTAGAGAATATTATAGTGTTCCAACTTTTTATGTCATGCTTCTCAATGATGAAGTATTACACATTGCTTTTTGCAGCTTCAAAGTAAGATACTATTTCATGTTACTGTCTAGTGACTGGCTGATGCTTTTTTAGTCGTCCCAAGCACATAATACATGTTTAATGGAAAGGGATTATGATGCCCATATTCCTTCTTTAGTTCTTCTGATAATGTGCTGTCATCTTCCTTACCTTTTCTTCTCTATTTATTCTTTCTCTTTCAAATGGGTGAACTTGGTGGCTACTATGTTAGTAGATTGATGACCTTGAGGTTGTTACAGGATAGTAAGATAACCTTTTAAACAGTATGGACCATAGTGATAATTTTTTTTAATCTTTTTAAGTTTTTATTGATCAGTAACATGAATAAGAGCTTATTGATGATGACCTAATAGTAAGCACGAAGTACACACCCTGGACCCAACAATACAGCCCAACTGACCATCGGAAGCTGCAAAAACGGGGGCAGTAACCTGGAATGGTCATGCCCTAATACGACTATACAGGGAGCTTCTCTCATCCCTCTAGTTATCAAGGAAGTTGTCTGTTCTTAGTATCTATCTGAATGAGTTGTTAATACTTAATTCTCAAAGCAAACTGTCTGCCTCCCTTCTGAAGTGACTTAGAAACCAAGCTGAATATGAGGGCATCTAACAGGCCACCACTTTATAATCTCCCTCATCCTCAACTCTCTCCAGATCACTTTCAAAATCCATAGTAGGACCTTTTTTGTTTTGCTAGATGCAGTAGGGCCATGAGCTACTGCCTCATACAGTTCCTTCCCCTTATTTTCCCTGATAATACCGCTATGATTGGTGAAACTTAAACATGTTCCATCATCCGTGTCAACTTCAAACCATATAAAACAAATTTTCTGGTGAAGCTCTCTTTGTACAAGTACCCTCCATAAGACTATTTGTATTTAAGTATGGCTCTGACTTTTAAACTCTGAATTTCTTTGTGACAGCATTTCAAGATTTTATGGATTTGGAACATTCAATTGAACATAAATGTCTGATTAGTGTTTGTTGAAACCTCACTGTCTTTGTGTTGAATTCAATGACTTGTTAGAGATTACTAGCTTCTAGCAAAACCACTGATGCTAGAAAGCTTTCCATTTTTAGGTATTGGTAAAAACCAATGCACAATTAAGTTAAATAGCACAAATTGTTGTATGGATGTAGTCCTGATTGTGCATGCAGCAATTCTTTGTTTTGTACTTTCTTCACTTCATGAAAGACTCATTTTCTCTCTGTAAATGTTGCAGTACACACCGGCAATAGATATTTGGAGCATTGGATGCATCTTTGCTGAAATTTTAACAGGGAAACCTCTCTTTCCTGGAAAAAATGTGGTCCACCAGTTGGACTTGATCACAGATCTATTGGGAACACCTTCTCCTGAAGCCATTGCCAGGGTCAATTTCCTGTCATGCAACTTGATGTGGTTGCAAATGATATTTTTTGTTTATTTATTAATCATTTACTACGTGAGTTATTTTGGTTTATTTTCCATGTACAGGTACGTAATGAGAAGGCACGCAGATATTTAAGCAGCATGCGCAAAAAAAAGCCTATACCTTTCTCCCAAAAATTCCCAAATGCAGATCCTCTTGCTCTTCGTTTGTTGGAAAGGATGTTAGCATTTGAACCCAAAGACCGACCCACTGCTGAGGAGGTACTGTAGATATGTTTCGTTTTGTCTATTTTAGTTGCATAACATGTGTGCTCTAACAGAAGAAATTTGTACTGCAAGGTATCAGGCTTTAGCAGATCCCTATTTTAGAGGCTTGGCCAAGGTTGAGAGGGAACCTTCTGCTCAACCTGTAACCAAGATGGAGTTTGAGTTTGAGAGGAGGAGGATAACAAAGGAGGATGTACGAGAGCTCATTTACAGGGAGATTCTTGAGTACCATCCTAAGATGCTGAAAGAGTTTCTGGAGGGAACTGAATCAACTGGTTTTATGTATCCAAGGTATTGATGCCCTACATATCTAAATTTAGATATTGGACTTAAAAGATCTTGATATGTTAAGTTAGTCCAATGAAATTCATGACATTTACATAATTCCCGTTTGGTCACCTTTTTCATATACATATACATCCATTACCTCTCATTTTCTTTGGGTTAGATTCCCTAGATTGTTTATCTGTTCGTTAGTTTATAAGCAATAACATGAATCTAAACAACTCTGCAGCTTTCTTTAAATAAGAAACTTAAAACCGAAAACACTAAAGCTATCCCAGCAGAGGATTGCACATAAGCTGGGGAAAAAAATCAAATAACCAAGTCAGGCCATTAAACTTGGACTGGGCTTTAACTTGTGAAAATCAAATAACCAGGCTTTTAATGATTATATCAACCGTGGCCCAGCTAATGTGGTCTGCAGGGGTGTCGCTCCATCTGGGTTGGCTCAGTTTAAGATCAATTTTAAATTTTTAACCCAACCCAAGGTGAGAAGCCCTCAACCCTAATCCTAACCCAACTCATGCATCAACCTGAATCACCCAACTCAAAATGTAACCTAAGCCTAAAATTAAAAAAAAAAGAAAAGAAATCGTAACCAAACCCTATCAACCTGATTTCAAACATTTTTATGGAAAGTTACAAAATAGACTTGGATGTAGAAGTCGAAAACAATTATATACCCAATTGGGAGACATTCAAACAAGCTTCTGAAAAATTAAATCATCAACACCCAACTTTTTTCTAAGAGCTAAAATAACTATTATATACTCCATTGGGGAAAGATCAATATCCAAGAAACAGGTTTGCACGTAGGAATGGCCGGGGTAGGGTGGGACAAATTCAGGGGTCCCCATTCCCCACGGGGACGGGGATGGGGCTGGGATTTTCAGCCCCACCAGGGTAATGGGTGGGGACAGGGTGCACCTTGTCATCCCATTGCCCCATTGGCATTCCCAGGCCTGCACCCTGTTGTCCTTATGGAAGAGGACTACTTAATCCACCTTGATGTCATATTGGGTTGGCATTTTCCAACACTAATTCTAACTCAATGTTCAGCCCAATCTAACCCTGTTTTTCATGGATGTGTGTTCAGGCTGGTCTGGCCCAAGCTGCATCCCTAGCAGTCTGTGCTTCATTCAGTACAGATTTGGCCAGCACCTGTAGATGATATTTCCAATCATGGAGTGTATACAACATGAAGGGCAACTCCCACAATTATAAAATCTGAATCTTCAAACTGAAAAAATAGTATGTCAGCTGAAGTGATGTAATTCTTATTTTAAGATTTCTTTTGGAAAAAGTTACCGAAGCCCAAATTCTCAAATCTTTTTCACAACTGAAACCTGAACTGGTGATTTCATCTTATAAAACACTAAGCTAAGATACTCAAATCTTAACTTCTTCATTAAATTCCTAAACAACCAATGCTTACATTTACATCATTTGTACAAGACTCCAGATAGCTGGGACAGACATTGGGCAATGGCCTTTTAAACAAGAATATCTATTTTTCTGCTTAACCACCAATTTTGAGTCATTTCATTAGCCTTCTAAAACAGTGGACTTCCTAGATAAATTCTTTACCAGAACTCTTGATCATACTATTGTTGTTACCATTATTTACAGTGCTGTTGACCAATTTAAGAAGCAATTTGCATACCTTGAGGAGCATTATGGAAATGGTGCAACAGTTGCTCCACCTGAGAGGCAGCATGCATCATTACCCAGGTAGATAGATAATGTCATTCTTCTCCATCTCTTTGCTAGGGTATCATCTTGGTTACTGATGGAAATATGGATGCAGACCTTGTGTATTATACTCAGACAATACAGCACAAAGTTCAGCAGAAGTTACTGGGGATCTCTCCAAATGTAGCATCAAGGAAGTTGAGAAGACACAACCAGACAGGGGTTGTGGGATTCCTACAACAAGGGTTCCTCTACAAGTACCTCAGAGACTCCAAGGTGAAATCAACTCCTTTTCTAATGTTCTCCACAATGTCTTACCGCACTATGTAGACAATCAGTTATTTCTTCATTTTATGTTTCCTTTGTTTTATCTTTTCCATCTTTACGTTAATCCCTTCCTGGAGGTTTTGCCATGATTTTCTCCAAAGAAATGTTTCTGTTCTAGCTTTTTTTTTTAAAAAACTTCACAATCTGTTCATTGTAATCTTCACTATAGTAATAAGAACAGAGCTATGCTATTGTTATTGTCTTTTTTTGGCTGTTTGAGACTGTTAATTAGACCCAAGATAGTGAGTTAAACATTGTTTTCGCTCTAATGATAACGAATGGAGATTGACCTTCAGCTGAGTGAGAATGGGTAGAGCCCTATAGAAACACAAGAAAAGCCTTTCTAAAGGGCAACCCAGTGCATGATGCTCATGCCAACACGGGGTCTGGGGAGGGACACATGTACGTAGCCTTACTCCTGCACATACAGAGAGGCTGTTTCCAAGATTTGAACCCTGGTCACCCAGGTTGCACTGGAGCAACCCAACCGTTGTGCCTAGACCCACCCTCAAGAAAAGCCTTTCTGCTATGCTTGAATTGAAATATGCCATCTTTTTTACTTACTCTTCAAAGGAACATATGATAATGGTTTGTGTGAGTCAACAAATGCTCATCCAAATCATGCCTTTTAAAGGAAAGAAAGCAACTAAGTATGCAATGACTTTCACCACTTAATGTGCTTTGTAAATGCAATACTTTAATTCGTATCTAAGATGAAGCTCAGCTATTCTTAGTCAGACTCAACCAATCTATAATCAATTTTAGACATGGATCTAGGTTGAGAGTTTAAACTCGTGTGCGCAAAGAAGCCTATGTGTGTATATTTTCGATGATCTCACTAGATCATGATGGGATGTATTACATAAGGGCCATATGCCCCTATGTTACTGGAAATATTCTATTTGCTGCCTTGTGGACTCTTGGAGCTCTCTTTGGACTCTTGGAAATAATAAAATAAATTTACTGATTGAAGTACTGGAAAATAAAGGTATAAATAAGCTAGCCAAGGTGAATTGTACCAAGTGATTTTATACCAGTGATAATATTGCATATTTTTGAACTTAAGCATATTTGATAACCAGTATTTTTGTTATAGTAGGTGCGAAGCCTGGGAAAGTTGTTGGCTCAGTGTTGCGGTACAATAACTGTGGAGTAGCGGCAGCAACAGAGGCTCTTGAGCAGCGAAGAATGGCCAGAAACACTGCCGTCACAGCTCAGTGTGCTCCTAGTTGTTCATATCCAAGAAGGAACCCTGGCTGTAAAAATGAGAGTGGAGAAAGTGAAGGACTTGAAGGATCCAATTCGGTGCAACCAAAGCCACAGTTCCTTGCAAGGAAAGTCGCTGCAGCTCAGGGTGGGCCTGGAAGTAACTGGTATTGATTACATGAGGCGTCTTCAGTGGGTAGTCAGCAATATTTCTTCTGCTCTACATCGAGTCATATCAGACAGCAACAGGAACATAGCTCGGCACGAATCATGGTTTCTAATAGAACAAAGAATGTGCTATAAATTGCTGATAATGCAGTGCACCATGAATTCCATATTTAACAGTGTCTCAGCGGCAGAGCTTGCACAATGGTGGCAGTTCTACCTTACTGTTGGGGATGATGGTTGTTAGTTCCGTTGTGCGAATTACTGAGTGAAGTAGATAAGATATGGATGGATTGGCCATGACCTGATTGCTGCTCAGTCAAAATCAAAGCCCAAAATAGCATTTATCAATTTCATACGAACGATACAGGGAGGAGATACTGTTATTTTAACCCCTATTAACTTACTCTTTCATTTTCACCATCTCCATTCTCCAGATTGCAATGCCAAAGGAGCCATGACCCATGAAGTCCATCTCTCTCTCTCTCTCTCTCTCCCTCTCCTCTTATGAATGTTCCCCTTCACAATAATTATGTGGACTCTGCATCTTTGAAAATATGGTCATTTGCAAAAATATTTTTTTCAGTTGACATTTGAATATCATAGTATTGAATATAAAGCCATTCCAATGTTTTGTACTCTATATTCAGTTTCTGGCTTTATGCGTTGATTTAGCCACCGCCATTTGCTTCTTATTTACTAGCCCTCGATGCCTAACACTTGTTGGATACCCAGCGAATCAGGGCCTACCGTGACTGCTTAGCAGCATAAGCGTTGCATTAGAGAGTTGACATTTAGATCTAACAGGCACCAACATCAACGATTCTCTCATTGATTAAAGTGAGAAACTAAAACAGAGATCAGATCTAACAGGCACCAACATCATCAGCATATTACTACTAGTAATATAAAATGGTAAAAAAGTTGTAAAAGGACAAGATCCAAAGACATGATATCTGAAAAGTAGCCACAGTTTGCCACCCCCTCATCAAATCATTCATGCAAACTCCCTTAAAATCCTGTCACTAGTGCCCAATGTGCCACCCTAATCATTGTTAACTCTAACACCTCTTCAATAGACTTTCAATTTTCCTCAAACAGTCTTGCATTTCTTTCACCACACAACCCCCACAAAATTGCTCCTCTGATTCCCCACTCTTCAACCACAACACACGCACACACACGAGGGTGATTCTAGGGTTTTCTTCTCTCTCTCTCTCTCTCTCTCCCCCCCTCCCCTTCCAGTTCCTCCTTCTAGCCTTCTATTACTGTTGTTCATTGATTTGGTACTAACTAAATTAGGTTTTGTCATTTTCGTTCATTGACAGTAGTCTTGGCTTTTATGAATTCATTGTTTCCGGTTGTTGTTTAGTCATGTTTCAAGTTTTGATGGTTATTAGGTCAGTTGGTAGAGTTCCTTTCACTTTCTGTATGCAGGGACAATTAAACAAATACTGTGTACTGTGCTCCATCCCATACATTGAAGGCTAAGAATAGTTCTTTGTGTCTAGTTTCAAAACAATTATTTCTCCACAATCCTTTCCAGGTGTTGGCCATATTATACATAGATATTTGGTCTCCAGAAATCTTCACTTTCTTACACTAGAATGAATAGTTCGACCCCTAGATTTCTAATCTCTCTTATCCAATATTTGTCCTCACATTTTCCAATGAAATACTAGCCTTAAAACCCTAAATTTTTCGAATTTTTCATAGATTTTTTTCTTATGTTTTGTCACGTTTCTGCATCACACTTTCTATTAAAGCAACACCGAAAAGAACTAAGAGTCACATTTAGGCAGTGACAAATAACTTCCATAAATTTTTCTTGGAGCAAATCCACTTCCATAGCCAAATCTGCAGAAGCATCTTCTATTATCAAGGAGTTTGTACTTGTTTCAATGGTCTTCTGTGTAATTTCTGGATTCTGCATATATGTTGATTTATGTCTTCCTGTCTCCTGAGTTATCTACACATTCTGCGGATGATTTGGCAGTAGGATTGGAAATGAAGATATTCTTGTCCAAAGGCAAAAAATGAAACCATAAACCGGAATGGGAATGGCATTCCCTGGGAGGGGGTCGGGAATGGCCATTCCCCCATACGGGGGTTCCAATTCCACCTAGAATGGGAATCTCATTTCCATTCCAGTCAACCAAACACTTGGAATGGGAATGGGCCATTCCGATTCCAATTCCAAACTCCCATTCCCTCGAATCAGACAGACCCTTAGAATTACAATTTTCAACCACTGCATTTAATCAATTCTCCTGAAGGAGGCATCAATAGGCAATAATCGAAAAAAGAAAGAAAAGACAAACTAAGGCTGCGTTTGGAAACAATGCAAATAGAGTGTAAATCCTAGTTCAGGGTAAATTTACACTCTGGTTCACTTTTGCCTCTGGTTGGCAACATTACATTTATGCATTGACAAATGACAGAAAACACAATTTCCAATACATATTTACATTGATAATAAGATGTAAAAGTACATCAATAAAAAAGGAAGTAAATTTGCATTTAAGTGGGTTTTTGATAAAAAAGACATGTTTTATTGGAATTCGTATTTACATCCATTACAGCTAAAAATTTATTTGGTGAGAATGTAAATTTGTCAATGCAAAATTAACCCAATTTTACAATTTATGTGAACCGTTTTACACTACATATTTGCATCGTTTCCAAATGCAGCCTAAAGGAAAAAGAGGATTTTGGTTTGGAGACATTAAAGCAACATCAAAATAAACAGGAATTACTAAAAATTTTCTTTAAGAACCTAGATAACACCCTAATTGTCTTCCTGACATGTTAGCTAGCAATCAATGTATTCGCAAAGAGATGCATGTATAAGCATTGTTTTGTCTTCTCCCCCGTCAAACTCATTTACAAAACTTAAGTGTTAATAAGAAATTTATCATTATTTTTATATTTTTTAAGGATATCCTAGATTAATATTTAATATGTATACCTGTTGACACTTACATTCAGGAGAAGAGCAATTTGCAGAGAACATGGTTCATAGAAAGTCACAAAGCCAACTGCAATTGGTCTTCACTTCTGAATTAGCCATCAGATATATAGCAAAAGCTTTGATTGGGCAAAAAGAGCAGTATAATCACCTGTATGGTTAGATCCAAAGCACCAATAGATCATAGCTTCTTTTACAGCTTGCTTCCCAATCCTACCTTTGCTTTCCATGGTTACTCTTTATGCACTAATACATTGTTGGCTTTAGCCACCTACACAAGCACACTACATTTTTGTTTTATCCTCTAAATTGGATTGTACCTTCAAGAAACAAACCCAAAGAGGCCTGCCTGAATCACAACCAACACGATTTGTTTAGGGCCTTAACATTTGATTGGGTTGGACCTACATACACTTGCACTATGGCCTCTTTCGTTTTCCAAGAAGTAGGGGAAGATAAGTTGATATGTCCCATCGGAAAAAAAAAAAACTCACATTTGTTTTTCGGTATTAGTGAGTCCTCCAAAAAGGAACAATTCTAGAGCGGCTCATTTACCCGAGGAAGTTACAATCTCCTCAGACTTGGGGTAAATTACTACCCATATGTGCTGTTATCCAAAAATGTTTCAAACACTTGCCCAGATAAGTGCACTTACCCTACCTTAACGTGAATGAAGCCTACATGGCCCTAAACAATGAGGAAAAAGGAAAGCTTGCTGATTATCGATATTTCCCAAAACCTGATCTTTCCAGAAGTGGTGTCAAGTACCCATATGAAGATCTATATTGGAAGATCGGGTACATATCCTATCGTTGCCTCTTACTAGTATAACTTCAATCTGGAATTGTATTTGCTATTACAGTGTAGATGCAGGTAAGGAAACCCTAAAAAAGAAAATCGTGGGAACAAAACATACTCTATATAGACAGACTATAGTTAAGAATGCATAGCCTTGGCCTCTCAAGGCCAGAAATAAATACATTCCATTTGGCCAAGGAACCCTTGTAGGGTTCCATTGATGACATTTGACCTCCACTACTTCAACTAGCGGAACCACTAAAAAGCCTATAAAGGATAGAAGCCTCTCGAATATTTAAACGAACTCGAGTAAAAACATCTTGGGGGAAAACTCTTTTACTGGTTTGCTCCACAACCCAGACTCCAGATCACTGGGTAAACTTTTTTTTTGCTGGTTTAAACTTTAAAACAAAACAAAGGGATGCGCAAGACTTCCATACATATGCTTCGGTCCATTAGTAAGTGAGATCGCAGAACCATGGCAACAAAACAAAACAAGAGTTGGTGCAAAGAGGAGTTTTTAACAGTAGAACCATGGCATGGCAACAAAACAAACTACCCACGAAAACCTTGGCATTACAAGACAACCATGGCGCTACATGAACCATTAATTTACATCTCATACAGAATGAGAAACAATCGAAAAATGCCTTGGTATTCCTAGCAAACTTTTCTTTCACTTTCCTGGCTAGTGGCTACATTGAGAATGTGATTGTTGTTATTGGTTCTATGTTCTTTGCTTCACCCGCCTTCCATTGACATCACTGCCATCAAGAATTGCTTCATTCCCATACCTGCAGACAATGACGGAGTGTTCACCAACCCTGGCTACATATTCCAATAGCTCGGTCAGAACAGAGGGGCAACTTTCCTTCAAGTATTCAAACCCATCCGTTTGCATCACAGCTGCAAACAACACAACGATTCAACTTTTTAGCCAAACTGCCACTGTGCCACATTCCAAGAGAATTAGCAAAAGCCAAGAAAAATCATATCTTAAAAAAATAAAACACAGAAAAAAACCGGCTATTAATTTCCAATTCTACTACTTTAAATCAGTGCAAATGAAGTTGAAGAGTAGAACTGTACAATGATAAAACCGAACCGTGTAATCAATCCCAAATAGTAGAGATAAGGCCTTGTAGAGTTGAGTAGAATTGAGTAGAATTGAGTACCATCTGAGCATGCTTTGGTACTAGTACTAATTGGACACTGTATCTTGGAGAGTAGCCCTAGCACTTGGCTAACCAACTCAGACTGCACATTCAACTCTTTATTTATTTATTTTCTCCAAATTACAGGTGCTACCTCTATTACCATGTATTTGGACATTTAGATCTAGAGAGTGAAGATAGAAAGCAAACAAACAACCATATTTACCTCTCAGGTTTTCAGGCTGTGCAACAAATTTGAGACACACAGCTTTAAGTTGGAAACAGTGGTGTTGCTCTGCCAAGGCTAACGTAGTTGCTACAGTGTTGATGGCAACATCTTCACAGAGCTTGGCTTCACAAAGTAATCTGAGCCTTTCAAGTCCATATCGGTCTGCTGCTGCAAGCAGATGCTGCCCCATCAGTGTGGATGCCCATTTTGAGTTCAAACCAGTGAATTCTTGCATGTCTGGTATGTCGTCCCAGTATATGAAATGGAGTAACGCCTACAAAATGCATAGCCATGAAAGAGAGAAAAGTTAGACTCCTATTGTACTCCCTTTCAACTATAAAGGAGTCTACTTCAACATCCCAACCAACCACCAAAATTAATGATAAGAAAATGAAGTTACTAGGCCTTGAAGAATCCAAGTGATAATGTTTTTGATAAAGTCATCATACCAGTAACGACATATTAAAAGCCTAGTATAGGAAATTCTGAAGAAATATTGGGAAAAAAAGCATCACCAAGCTTTTCCTCTCGATATACTTAAACCACCTTTTACCTAGTTGTTTCTTTCTCGGGGTGGTTTACCTTGACAAGTTATAGAAAGGGAAGTGAATCAAGGCTTCCTCCTTGTTATCAGATTTAGCTCAACCAAAAAATATTTTACAAATACAGCACTGGAGGGACTTCAATTATCTCTGTCCTAGATCAACCACAGTCATATAAGAGAGAAAGAGAAAAGGATTTAAAGACAGGAAGGATGAAGGAAGAGGAATGGGTCTGGACAACAAGGAGAGGAAATAGTGGCTATCCAAATAATTCAATAAATTGGATTGGGTCAGGAAGACAAAAATAAATAGATCTATCATCTTCACCACCTAAGACCTTGGCAATTTTGTTTTTTTCCCTCATAGACCAGGAGAAAATATTGACATGCCATCATGGGCTTTGTCCACCCAAATAGAAAAGAAATGAATTTATACAGTCACGGTATTTGAAAAGACAGTAATAGATATCTAATAAAATGATGCAAACCAACAATGGTAGAAACTTGACCAAGTTGAAGAAAGCCTTGATAACCAGTAGCAGCACTTGGTGGCCGAACCAAGAGATCGCAGAGCCAGAGCTGGAACAACTAAAATTTGTGAGCAAGAGCAGATCCTTAGGAGAAGAATCCAGCTATAAACTGGTGGATATGTAAGCATCTTCTATGGCACCACCACCACAACTCACCTAAAAATAACCAACTCAGCCAACTTCCCTATGGGCCCCTAAAATAAATACGAGGAACAAACCTCATAAAAACAAACAACAATTTCCAAACCAAAATTGCACAGAAAAAGGACAGGAAATGTAAAGACACGAAGAACATGAACTTCATTTTAAGTTATAATGTCCATGTTACGGAGATAACTTAAGGCAAAGAGTATATATTGTGTATGGTCAGCTGCATCAAAGAAAAAGGTGTTTCACTCTTCCAAAATAGTCATTTCCCATGATATAGAAAATGCAAACCAGCTCTCCTGCCAAGAATTAAATAAAAATGACATCCAAACTAGAATGCTTACAATTTGCAAAGAATAGAAGGCAAACAAAATAAACAAAGAGAAACGTCATGATGACTACATATCCAATCAGCAAGTCACGTACATAATTGTCAAGGCGACGCCTAGGCGACAAGGCACCCTTGGAGGCTCGCCTCACCCAGTCGCCAAGAAGTTTTGTATATTGTCTTATAAAATACTTTTATATTGTTACTTTTTTGAGATTATAATTATAAAATAGACATTATTAAACAAAAATATTCATTTTTTGTGTTTATAAACTAATTTCTTTTTATTATT